GGACGCGAAGCGCTGTAGCCACCACCACATAGCTTCCACACCAGAGTGCGAAAAACTCACTGCGTGGGGCACACGCTGGCAAACATTGCACGTGCAAGCTAGGTGGTGCAAGCAATGTGGCTTACTCTATGTGGTGCCGTGTACGCGGTGCAAGCCAGAGGGGGCGACGAGGCGGCGACGGGCGGCAGCGCGGCGAAACCTCGACAGACCCACTCCGCGCACGAGACGGCCACGGGCGGCAACGGGCGGCGGAGTGGCGAGACCTCCGGGGACACACCCTGCGCACGAGGCGGCGACGAGGCGGGAATGGACAGCAGCGCGGCAGAGCCTCTTGGGGCGCGGAGAGATACGGATACGTGTTGTCCCCGGACCTCTCCCGGGGTGCGTTCTGACCAGAATTTCAAGGCGAATCCAGCGGTGACAGCGAGGAATCCCCAGGAGGCCCAAGAAAGGCCGAAAACGAAGGGGGACAACACGTATCCGTATCTTTCTCTCCCCAGAGCCTCGATGGACCCACCCGGCGCACGAGGCGCCAACGAGGCGGGAATGGGCAGCAGCGCGGCGAGGCCTCGCCGGACCCGCCCAGCGCACCGAGGCGGCAGCAGGGCGGCAAGGAGGCGGCCACGAGCGGCGCCGCGGCGAAGCCTCGACGGGCCCGCCCAGCGCACGAGGCGGCGACGAGACGGCGATGGGCGGCAGCGCGAAAATCCTCGCTGGACGCAACCAACCCCTCAGGAAGGCAAGTTCAGGGCAGTTGTTTAATACATTGGATTTTAAAACATCTAGGATTATCAAAGCATGATTGGCTTGTGAATCAATCTATGCACGAACTCATCGTTGCCTTTAATACTAAATCCCTGCAATTTTTATACATGATCCGCACGCGGAGCATGTACCAAAAACGGCACTGTCAGAACCCCAAAGTGCAAGCAATGGTCGGGGAAAATCCCAGCAGCCCTCCAGGCGTAAGCGGTCGATCGAGCTCGTCCGTGGCCACGCTTGCTGTTCCGACCTCTTGGAATCTGCGGGGGCCTCTTGGAGCCACCTGGGGGGATCCAGGGACCCCGTTGGAAGCATCCTGGGGCGTCTTGGGAGTATCCCGCGGCCTCTTGGGCCCAGAGATCCAGCGGTCAAATTCTTCCGATGCGTGGAACCCAAGAGGTCTGGACCAGTTCTCTAGGACCCGCTTTTCATCCTGAGTCGTTTCTGACAGTCCCTGGGCCATCTGAGTAGGGAACCTGGAGGCCGAAAACGGCCAAAAACCGGCCGCTCCAATTTTTGTCAGAGCATGAGATATCTGGGCTGGCCTCTTCTGCAGGTCTCTGGAGCCTTGCTTCCTCCTGGGTCAAGCTCGATCCCTCCTGAGGGGCCCAGGCCCGGGACCAGCTTAAGTGTCGTCGTCGTCGGTGTCCACGGTCGAGACACGAAGCCACAAAGAAACACCGTGAGCTAGTAGGGCCCACTTTCGCTACACTCGACCCTCGGCAAGCCTCTCCTCGGTCCAGGGCCCAGCCCCAAAGCCGACTGGCCCAGTGCCGAAGCCAGACCGACCGGCCTGGCCCGACAGGCCAGAAATTGCCGCCCCAGACATAACCGCGCTGTGAAAAGATCTGGACGGGCACGTGTTTCGTTACTTTCGGCCCCAGGGGGCCCTCGCCGAGCCCCAGGACCGTCAAAAAACGACTCGGGATGAAAAACCGACCCCGAGGAGAAGGTCTGAACTTCCAGGGACGCCGCACTGAAAAAATCATGACGTCGCATGTCCGGGGCAGCCCCCCTCCGTGAACGCTCTTCAAAAAACGCCCCTCGGGGCGCACCCGGCACGGGACCCGACCAGCCCAGACCAGCGATGCCGACGCTTCGCAGACCGACCGGCCCAGACAGCGCAGCGCTGGAGACCGGACCAACCAGCCCCGGAAGAGGCTTGCACCCTTCCACGGCCCACGGCGTCCCCAGCCATCCCGCGCTCCAATTTCTGCTGGTGCGTGGACCCCGGAGGTCTGGACCCCTCCCCCAGAGCCCGCTCTTCGTCCCGAGGCGTTGCTCGACGGTCCCCAAGGGCTCCGTGGAGGGCCCCACGAAGCCGAAAACACCCCAAAACTGGCCGCCCACGACCGCCAAGAGACCCCCAAGACGTCCCAAGACGCCCAAGAGTTACCCCAAGAGGCCCCGAGAAGCATCCTAGAGACCTCTGGATCTTTTGCTTGCACTCCTCCCCCTCCTCCTTCCTCCTCCCATCCCTTCTCGTCCTCCTCCTCCCCCTCCGCCTCCTCCCAATGTTCTCGGAGCCTCCGAACTATGGGACCGCTGGGGACGCTCTGGCCCGGGCCAGTCCAAACCCGGGTCGGCCCGGGCCCTGTCGCAAAGCCCAGCCGACCGCTCAGCAGCTCCCAAGCCGAGGCCAGGGGAGGGCAGACAGGTGGCTCCCTCCTCCTCCTCCTCCTCCTCCTCCTCCTCCTCATCCTCCTCCTCCTCCTCCTCCTCATCCTGCTCCTCCTCCTCCTCTTTCACCTCCTCCTCCTCCTCCTCCTCCTCCTCCTCCTCTTCCTCCTGCTTCTCCTCCTCGTCCTTCTCCTCCTCCACCTCCTCCTCCTCCACCTCCTCCTCCTCCTCCTCTCCCTGCTCCTCCACCTCCTCCTCCTCCACCTCCTGCTCCTCCTCCTCCTCCTCCTCCCCGGGTCAGCCGGAGGGGATTACCTGACCCCCGTTTGCACTGACCCCGAGTACGTGAGCTCCGACACTGCGTGACTGCCTCGCGCCAGGCAGTCGAAGCAAGCGGGGGCGAAGCCTGCGGCTCGCAGCGGGGCATCCCGGGCTTCTTCGGGCGGGAGGGCGGGCCGAGCTGGACACTCGAGCTGAGGCCAGCGTGCAGCAGAACGGGCGCAGGGCGTGGAGGAATCAGGAAACCCAGAGATCCGAGGATCAGGGAACCCGAGGAAGCCCGAGGATCAGAAATCCTCCCCCTCCTCCTCCTCCTTCTCCTCCTCCTCCTCCTCCTCCTCCTCCTCCTTCTCCTCCTCCTGCTGGACGAGAGGCGCTTGAGGGGCGAAGATGGGGGGGCACATGCGTGCAAGTGGTTTCGGCCCCGCCGCCACCAGAAATGCGACGCTCCGAAAAAATTGGAACGCACGATTCTGGCCCCTGTTAGGATATACACCACTCCTGGGCCCAGGATTGCCTAGGCCCGGGGCAGTGGATACGTGTAGATCTCGTCGCCCTACGTGTTCGGCTTCCGCCAGCCCTCAGCGGGCCCTGGTACCGTCAAAAAAAAACTACTCAGGAAAAAACATCGGCACTGGCGGAATGGTCCAGACCTCCGAGGTCCACGCGTCAAAAAAGGTGAAAGCTGGATGTCTAGGAGGGGGGGCGCGATTCCGAACATTACAAAGCCCATGTCGCTCTCTTGCGAAATGAAAGCACAAGTCGGACGTGCCTGTCTACAACCCCCTGGATTAAAGTCAACCCGTATAGTAAGGATGCGCGATAAGGATGCAAGGGGCCTTAGACGTCCATTTCGAAGCTTTTCAAGCGGGGCGCGGCCAACGGAAGTGGGCAATAATGAACCGAGGAGACATGGATGCAAGGGTACCCTTCAGACGGTTGCATGCGGGTTGACTGTAACAAATCCGGACCGCTGAGGTCGAGGAAGAAGCATTGAGCGGTTCCCGTTAAGCCGAAGGGCCCCAATTCGGTGTTGAAGAGACCTATTTGGCGATCGCCAGGTCCATCCATCCCCTCTTTGAATATGATACTTGCCGAAAGGGGAAAGGACCAGAATGTCGCATTTCGGCAAATGCTTCCGCCGAAAAACTGTCCAGTCCCCTTTGCAGGCAACGGGACGATTTCCGATGGAACCCGATTGTGGCAATTTCGCGTAGGACTTCTTCACAAAAACTACCCGGTCCTTTCTTACGCCAGCAGACAGTGGCGATTTCGCTTGGGACGCCCTCAACACAGTGTTCGGAACCTTCTACATGCCGCCAGGTGGCGATTTCGCGTGGGACTTCCCCACAACCGTGTGTCTTGCCACCACGTCGTGCTGCCAGAGAATTTACACTTGACGTGAGAACTCTCTCGAGCACGTTTCTGGCCCCACCTCACGCCGCCAGTGCGCCGATCGGAGAGCGAGGCTGCAGGGCGCCTTGGAGCGCAGATCCGGACGTCTTTAGCCAGGGGGCGGCAGGGCCGTCTGCACGGGGGCACGCAACCTCTGACTGGAAACTGCCATCCATTCGTCTGGAGTGGTATTGCCCACACGCTAGGGCCGCGGCGCGAGGATGCGACGAGCTGTTACACGGAGAGGGGAAACAGATAGTGGGAGTGGGAGCAGGGGAGGGGCAAGTCACGAGGTCGTGAGCCTGTATGGGAACTAGGGAAGGAAAACAAGCATAGCCAGGGCGAAGCGAAAGTAAAGCGAGGGGCCTGGGTAACTCAGAAAGATCGCAACTGCAGACGAGGAAGCAAGACCCGAAGCATTATATATCTTCCGCACAATTTGCCCCGTCTATCCTACACAGCGGGACATTCACGTCGAGAAGCTTGGGTAAACGGCATGATTGCGTAAAGCTCCAACATGTTCCTGATCATTGCATCGCATGGTGTTACCCGCGACACCGGCCAATGTCAATCAACAAATTTGGCAGACGGCTCATACTGCATTCCAGTGTTGGTTTTTGCACCACGGCAACCTGCTTTGTACCGTGTTGCACGCAAACATACCCATGGATGGCTGTGATAATGTTTATTGACTATGCTGCATTGATTCTGCACACCCGACTAAACTTTCCAACGACTCTATGCGGCATTGCTTCCAAAATGCGTACATCACTAGCTTGCCAGTTGATCAAGAAATCTTTAAAGGCATTTTGACTGAAGACCTACTGCAACACGGAACCAGAGGAGTCACTATGCCAAGTGTCGCTGCTCCAGGGCACGACAGCCGAGCGCACGGACCTGGTCGAGCTCCCCCTCCCACAGCCCAAACGCCCGAAATACCTCCCCCCCCCTCCCAGATCGGCCATGCCCCAGCTGCTGCATGCCGCTTGCACGTTTGCGGTCGCAGGCGGCGGCTCTGGGGCTGGGCGAAGCGCCGCATGCTCCTCGAGACCAACGCGCCTCCCAGGCAACACACCGCGCGGCAGTGCAGCCGATCACACGGCCGATCAATGGCGAGAAAAATGGCGCAAAATTACCATGCCAAACTGGCGGCGACCGGATCCAGGGTCGCTCTCTGCGAGCGCACAGGGTAGAACGTCTGAATCGCCCCGGTGGGAATGGACTCGAGCGCCAGATAGGCTACCCCGTCGAGGTTCTCGCACAGGTCAGGGGCGCCCGTCCCGTCGGCGTCGAGAAACCCGAGCAGCTCCACGAGCTGGCGGGACTCCACGACGTCCTGGACCTCGCGCGACATGCTGGCGCTCGCTTGGTGGGCGCCTCCTTCGCCTCCACCCACGCATCTGTGATATTCAGCTCTTGGAAACACATGCGTGCACATTTTTCGCCCGAGTGACGTGCCTCAGCCTCTGCCCGAAGCAATGCGCTCGCACGGTCTCCGCGAGGGCGTTTATCAGAGCATGCCTGCCGGGCTTTACCGAACCGGGCCCCTGACCAAAACCATTATGCAAATGGGGATCGCCCGTAGCCGCTACGCCCCCGCGTGCTCCTCCGATGCCCGGCGGTCAAACTGGGCGTCGGGCTGGGCGCACGGCTGGGCGTCGGGCTGGGATTCGGGCTGAGCGTCGGGCTGGGCGTCGGGCTGGGCGTCGGGCTGGGCGCCGGGTTTACCTCGAAAAATCTTCAGGAAACTGAATGGCATCAGAACACTACGTCCTAGGATACACTATGTGTAATTATTTGTCCCCTTGTACCTCATCTCGCTTATCTGCTGCCTTCACATTAATGCATGCGATCATTTCGCATCGATTGGTCCACAAAATGTTATTTGGCAACTGCCTGTAGCGCACACAGTCTTCATAAAACTGACTTCCATCCGAAAATTACGCCAGATTAAACATACGTTGAATTTGCGAGGCATGTGCAGCCTGATGTCGGGCCTATCCTGCCTCCAGACGGACGCATTTGATCATTTCATATCGATTCATCCGCATATTTCCTTGGGCAACGGCTTGCAGCTCACGCAATCTTCCGAAAATTCACGTCCATCAGCAAAAATGCAGTCGCAGTTGTGGTTGCAGACCGATCTAAGGCGTCTAGATACTGTAGACTAGCGCTCCTGATCATTCCCTGTCGATCGGCGTGCATCTCAGCTCCGTAGCTCGCCTAGAGCTCGAATACAAAAACAAAAAAAAAACGTATCTCAAAAACTTGCAGAGTGCGAATAGTTGTTCAATCACAGCTCTGGTAACAGACCGATCTTAGACGTCTCGATACTGTAGACTAACGCTCCTGATCACTTCCTGTGAGAAGATGTGCATCTCAGCACACTAGAGCTTCCTGCCATAGACATATATATATACTTGTATATGTATGTATATATACACATATGTATAGCATGCGAGCGTGGCAATCCTGCATTCAGCGTGCGCGAGGATGCGAGGTTTCATGGACATGTGCTTGACAGCTCCTCAGCTTGCGCACAGCTCGAATTCAGTTGAGACAACCACCCGCGCAAGAAAGCACACGACTCAAGTTGAACAGATGTTCGAAGAAAACCTGCCAATGTTGAGAAGCTCTCGCCACGTGTAGAGCATGATCAATTCATATCGAATGATGTGTTTGACAGCTTGGTAGCTGTTTGCAGAGTGCAGCAAGTTTTTTCGGTCGCAGCTCTGGTAGCAGACCGATCTCAGACGTCTCGATACTCCAGACTAGCGCTCCTAATCTTTTCCGTTCGCATGGTGCGCCCCCCAGCTCCGTAGATCGCCTACAGCTCGAATTTAACAAAGAACACCAAGACCAACTCTCAAAAATTTGAATTGAAAAGTGCAAATAATTTGTCGGTCGCAAATCTGGTAGCAGACCGGTCTGAGGCGTCTAGATACAGTAGACTAGCGCTCCTGATCATTTCCCGTCGATTGGTGTGAATCTCAGCTCCGTAGCTCGCCCCCAGCTCGAATTAAATAGAGACAACAAGCACCACCTCTCAAAAAAGTTGCGGAGTGCGAATAATTTTAAAGTCGCAGCTCTGGTAGCAGACCGATCTCAGACGTCTCGACACTGCAGACCAACGCTCCTGATCATTTCCTGTCGGGCGGTGTGCATCTCAGCACCGTCGCTAGTTAAGTAGAGGAACCCAACATTGTCATCCAAAAAGTTGCAGAGCGCGAACAGTCATTCACTCGCAGCCCGGGCAGCAGACTGATTTCAGGCGTCCCCATACTCTGGACTATAGCTCCTGATCATGTCCTGTCAGTTGGTGCGCATTTCAAGTCTGTGGCTTGCCTACAGCTCCATAAGTAGAGAAAATCGACCTCGCCTCTGAAAAAAAAATACAGAGTGCGAATAGCTTTTCGGTCGCAGTTCTCGTAGCAGACATATTGCAGGCACCTCGATACTTAAGACTAGAACTCCTGAACACTTCCTGTCGAAAGGTGCGCAGTTCGTCTCTAAGTGGCAGCTCGAGTTATCTCCCAAAGGTTATCAGGAGGACCCAAAGATAACAAAAAAACAAATGCCGCCCATCGTTTTTTGTTATAATATCCACCCGATTGACCTGAGATCAAGATGGCGAGCGGGAGTAAGATCCGAAATGGGTGCAAAAAACACCAAACTGATTGTTGGAAAATCGGAAAGGAAATTTTCAACCGAGCCCTCCCCAGCAAGACTGGAAGTCGGCGGCAAACCGTCCACCTTTGTTATTTTCTTTGCGCAGAGCCACGGGCCTGAGTCCAGGCCCGCTCGGGCCACAGCCACGCGCGGAGGGGGGCAGCGAAGCCTGGGGCTTGAAGCACCGCCAAAACACCCTGGGCCAGGTGCTTTGCAGCTCATAGCCCGGCTTGAGTTATCGGCGGCATCACATCACCAGTAGGAGGGGGCTTACTGATGAGCATTAGAGGCGAGGAGGTAGAGCAGGTTGCACAAACAAATCAAGTACCAAGCCACCGCCACAACCATCGGAACTGAAGTCATCGTCAAAGTAAACGCGGATTCCTCTGATGGTCCCGCATGCCGTGGCATAGTGACTCTGGCCCCTGCGGGCCAGCCATGTCGAATCATCAGCTCGTACTTCCTTCGCGGTAGAACCATGCAACAAGATCACAACCATGGTATGGGGCCCTCAACTGTACATACTGGATTGCGGCAATCATCGTCGCATGCACATCGGTCGTACCCTGGAATATACCGTTGGCCCAGTTGCACACAAGAAGTGAGTCCCCGAGAATCTCCAGAAGCATCCCAAGGGCAACATGGTTCCAAGTCGTCTAGTGGTCGTCGTTATACTGCAATCGCTTTGATACCCTCTCTTTCTTCGCCTCCTTGTTCCGTCTGCTGACCTCCTCAGTCACGTCCTCCTTCTCCTCGCTCCAAGACCCTTTGGGATCCTTCAAGACAAAGTACTCCAGGAAATGTGTGAACTCCCAGACGCCTGAGACCACCCACGCAAACTGCTCCCAGGCATCCTCATCCCACAGCAAGTTACAATACCAGTACGCCACTCCCACCAATTCAAACAGAAGGGTCCACGGTCTGAACCCCACAGAAGATGATTTTGCGGGGTATCATCGAGGAGCCTATTGGGGCTCTCTCGAGTCGTCGTAGTCTGGACGCGTTGTCCTTTTTTCTGAGCCCGCTCGCGCATCTGCCGGATCAGCTGCGGTTTGATTAAGCCCGAAGCAGGTGTCGACTGAGACCCACACCCAGGCACATCTGGGTCCGCGCACAAAGAAACATCAGCCTGCACCCATTGGGACTTCAGCCGAAGTAGAGGCCAATACGTTCTGAGAGCATCGTTGCGTTGCAGTACAGATATCCTTGGCTCAGGACCACTGACAAAACAAGACGAGCCAGGGCAAGGACGGCACGCCCAACATCTTCAGTGCAGCACGCGCCTGGCGACACACCCGATGCACGAAGGTAGTCCGATCCTCCTCTGGGCCCTTTCGCCCCCGCAGCATCTTCGCTAGAAGCCCCCCATCGCATCTGCGCAAAGCCCCAAAGCTTCTCTCATCCGCAGTCACTGGAAGCCGGCGGTAAACTGTCAACCTTGGTTAGGAGGAAGAGGAGGAGCAGGAGGGGGACAAGGAGGGAAAAGATCAAGAAAGGCATCGTCATCTCTGAAAGTAATAGTAGAGTATGAATAATTGTCTGGCTCCAACGCTGGGAGCGTCACGAGTTCGGGCATCTGGATACTTGAGACTAGCGCGTCTGATCATTTCCTCCCCATTGATGTGCCAAGCAGCTCTGCAGCTCATCTGCAGCTCGAGTTATCTCAAGCAAGATACCACGATCTCTCAAAAATAGCTCTGGTAGCAGACCGAGTTTGGGCGTCTAGATACTTTGAACTAGTGCTTCTGATTATTGAATTTCGACCGTTGTGACAAACAGCTCTGCAGCTCATATTCAGCTTCAGTTCAGTCCAGAGAACCATCACAATATGAAGAAAACGATTACGAATAGATGTTCGCATCCAGCTTTGGTAGCAGACCGAGTTCAGAAATCTAGATACTGTCGACTAGCGCGCCTGATGATAGTTTGCTGTGCCAAAAAGCTTTGTAGCTCATCTGCAACACGAATTAAGTCAAGATGCTCATCATTCTCCAAAAAAACAGCAGAGTACGAATAGTTTCGCGGACCCAGCTCTGGTGGCAGACCGAGTTCAGAGATCTGGATACTTGGGACGAACGCACCTGTTGACTCTAGAAGCTTCAGGTGTGCCTGCCAGCTCTGTAGCTATTCTACAGCTCGAATTAAGTTAAGATACCGACAGCACGTTTCAAGATGACACTAAACAGCCGATCCCGCCACAATGCTTTTTCGCAGAAATACGCGCCCGATCGACCAGAGATTGAGATGGCGGCGGATAGCAAGATCTAATGTGGAAAAAGAAATACTGGAGCTCTAACGAACGTTGAAATTTCGAGAAATCAGATTTAAACCGAACAAGATTATGCAAACTTCCGTCGAGATTTCTTTGCCAGCTGGGAGCCGGCGGTGGACCGTCAACCTTGGTTTTTTTTGCGGTTTGCGGTCCGCCACTAGAATCCGAATCCGAATCGGCGGAGCAGTGCAACTGAGCCCCCACCTTCTTAGGTAGGTCGCAGCAGAGCGCACGCCACCTTAGCAGCAGCTCTCGTCAGGGCAGCGCAGGCAGCTAGTTCACAGCAGGTTACCGTGCTACCTGGAGGCAAGCTCATCGCCTCCTCGGCCACATCGTGCCAGTGGAAGCTCTGCGAGCTGATGCAGGAGGAAGAGGAGGAGGAGGAGGAGGAGGAGGAGGAGATGGGAAAATCAACCTGCACGCTGGAACCACTACCTAATACGCCAATCTGAAGCCACCACCCGCCTCCACATCCTTCATTACTGACACCCCCATCGAATGCACCACGGAGAGCAGTCTTACGAGTACTGAGGAACTGATCATATGCAAACCAGCGAGTAATAGTTTGGCCACCTCGGGCCTCCCACGACAATCTATCCGCACGCTCACTACCCTCACGAAAGAAATGTTTATACAAATTCTGTCCCGATGCAGGTGAGGTCAGTCCCCATCCAGACAACATCGATAGAGTATTTTGCAGTACTCCCAGCAGTCGTACATACTGCTTGTTACGAATCTGCCACTCAGCACACATCCAGTTAACGACCGTCTTACTAACTCCC